CGCCATGTTCCACAAGGGCATCTTCAACTGCCTTTGTCAAGTCACAATCAAGGTTGAATAGGGCTCGAAGGGCAGAAACAGTGATGCCGGGGAGCCTTCCCTGGAACATGGCAACAAACCTGCCAATGGCGTCTTCGGTGAGCTGCTGGCCTTCATCAATGATGCCCATGCGCTGACAGAGTAGCCTCTCTGCCATCTGTGCAATCGACGTCGTCCTCTTTTTGGCACCTAGCCGTGGGCTGCACCTGGTCAGATTGAAGCCTGAGACGCCCGCGAGCGTCTTCCTCCTGGTCGCCGGCTGTCCAGGTGGAGGGGAGCTTGGATCAGCTAAGAGTGGCGGCTTACGGGCGACGAATAACGGGGAGCGTGGCGGCGACGCTGTCGGGCTTCCAGGTGGCGTAGACATAGGTATGTGGATCAGGGTGACCGGAGGGGAAGGAATCTCTTCTGGAGTGGAAGTCACCATGAGCTCATCAGCAGAGCCAGACAACTCGGCATGTTGGTGCAGCGGCGTGAGGGAGCCAGGCGAAGGAGCAGTCTGGTGGATCGACGTGAGGGGGCTTGGAGTCCGGGAGGATGCACGCTGGAGCAGACGAGGCGACGACCGAGCAGGACAACCCGGTGGCGTGTCCTCCGGCAACACCAGCAAGCCCATACACGGAGCTACGCGACGCAGCCAGGCAGGGGCAGTCGGTGAAGGATGCAGCTCGATGATGTCTCGGTGAGTAGTGCAGGGGGAAGGCGGCGACGATCTTCCGCAGTTCGCAGGGGCCGTCGGGGAAGGCCGTAGCACAATGATGTCATGTTGTGTACTGCGAGGGGAAGGAGGCGGAGATCTTCCACGGTTCTCTTCGTTGCGCGGGATGATACACCTAGCTCTCGGGCGCGCACACCTCGCCATCATATCAGCTGGGCGGTCTCGGGATCTCCTGCCCGAAGCCGGGATGACTGTGCCATCATGGAGGCATTGCACACATCCAATGTTGATTCTCCGGGCATCCGTGCTTGGGAGCTGCAGACCACGGCGCCTGACATCTTCTTGATGGCCACAAATATCACTGTCTTTTCCGCGCGAATCCCGGCCTTGAACTTTAGCATGTCCAGGGGGAGCTCTTGAGAGTTGGCGGACACAAAGCAACGGCTGCGAACGCAGGCGAAGAGGAATCCTTTCGGCATCATCATCCGAGGAGGAGGGCAGCAGGGGTGCGGGATGGTTCTGCAGTGCTTGTGGCGGGAGACGGACTTGCAGTGGAGGCGGCGACTTGCTTCCGCACTGACGAGCACGGTGCCCGCTCTGTCGATAGATCAGGCATTTCTAGGGATCACTGCAGTCAACTTTACAGTGTCCCCGCTCCAGGCAGCGATGGCAGGTCCTGTGATGGAGCTTGACGAATCTTCTGCCGGTTGGAGGGGAAAACGAAGGCGAGGATCGTCGGGGTGGCTGTCGGTGGTCGGGAGACAGAGCTCTTCACCAGTACGGAGCTCGAACAAGCTTCCAACCCTCCTCCGAGTTGACATCCCCATTGAACGGCGCAATCGAAGAAGCACGCGGCAATGCAGGGCTGGAAGAAACGGGCATCGACGCCACACACCGGCCGGCAGCGAAGCGCGCAAACAAGGATGCCTTGAGGCATGACTTGGGAGCGCCACGAACGAGCCAAGGGGAGCTGGATGCAGCAGAACTTCAGCAGCAGCAAAGCAGACCTTCCGGGGATTTGAAGCAACAAGAGCAGCAACCGCAGATGGATCTTCGAGGATCGAATCCCGGCCGAAAGAAGAGCCTGAAGTGGGAGGGAACCTCGGCGGAGGGACTGGATCTGGCGTGGATCCAGCCAGCTGCGGGAACAGAGAGAGCACGAGGCCCTCCCGAGCAAAGCTTGGCGTGGGGAACCCGGGGGGAAACCGCTGCGTTGCAGGGGAGAGGCGCGGCTGGTCAAGGAGCGGAGACGGTGGCTGCGGGCGCCGGAGCGGCGCGGCGCAGGAGCGTGGGCGAGGGGAGCGGCAGCATCTCTTTTTTATGGGATGGATTTGCAATGCGACAGAACATGTAGACGAAGATAGTTGAACGGATGTAAAAGGAATTGGAAAAGAAAACGATCAAAGAAGCGGAAGAAATAGACATACGACATGAAAGAGAAGAGTGCTACAACGTTGCACTGCAGCAGATCAATCAAGAAAGAAAAGGTACAAGAAAGGTACAAGAACAACGGATAGAAACCCGATTGAAAAGAGGCACCGAGTGAGAACAACAAAGGGAAGACAGACAAAACATTAAAGAAAAGAGACGTGGAAGAACAGATGGACCAAATATTAGTACAGCCCTAAACCCTGCTGGTTGGCGCCGCGAGACTATGTCCACGAGCTGTGCCGAGAGGATCATCGCCACTGCAGCCCCGGGAAACCGCAAGGGCACCAAGTCGATGCTGGCCCTCATTGCGTGGCATATATGGTTGGAGAAAAACTCTTGCGTCTTCCGAGGGAAACAGTCAGATGAGCGACACATTATAGAGACATGCCGCCGGGACATGGAGCAATGGCGTTTGGCAGGGGCCAAATGCATAAAGCAGCCCTTTAGGGATATGACGTGAGATATCGCCATGATCACATTCTACTGGGAGCTCGGCGTTCCCAGTGATCCGTTGTAATTTCTCTCATTCATCTGATCACTTAATCGGAAACATTATGTCGCTTCCTCCTGCTAAATCAATGAAACACCAGCCAAAAGCTGGTTTCTTAAAAAAAAATTAGTACAAAAATATACTATGATGTATTCGATTCCTCGTTTTCATCTATGTCCGTGTGAATTTTCGGCATACAATGCATGCTCTGCGCGCGCTGGTTTGTCCCGCTGTGGTTTGCACTTTGCACCTGCACCTTGTTTGTTGGTTTAGCACGACCGTAAGCAGACGAAATCCTTGATTAAGTATGAGTTTTCTAAATGTCCTACCTAGTACAACGATGACACACATCATGTATGCATACTGGCGTGGCATAGATTAATCATGAGTTTGCACCTGCGCTGGCTTTCAGTCACCCAGGACGACCACACACATGCACGCATCACGACAGGTCGATGGCCAGCCAGATGGAACCACGCCCACATGATGGGCCAAGACGGATGGTAGAGGGTCACAGAGGTCGGCAGATTTATAGTACTATACATAGTAATTCCTCTATAAAGGAATATAAGAGCATCTCCAGCCGTTGTGCCCATCAGAAGGCCTTTTTTCCACCTCTTGGGGAGGCCCCGACGGAATATTTGCACTGGGGACGAAAAGTTTTCTAATCGTCCCGCCACCCAGCCGGCATCATCGCGACCTGGTCGGCGAGCGCAGGCGGCGAGGAGGCATGACGAGGGCGCGCGGGCGCAGCGAGGAGGCGTGGCCAAGGCCGAGAAGGCGCGGGATAAGGAGAAGGCGCTCAGCGCTCGGCGGGCGGCTCTCCGCACCAGGTTGGCCAGCCGACGGAGAAGGAGAAGATTCGTCTGCCTCGACGAAGACGAATTGGACTCTGTGCCACTGCCACCGCTGCCACCCAAGCCTACCTTCGGCGATTTCCTCGCCGCTGCGCTCTACAAATCCATGTAGAGCAAGGCCGTAGTGGTTGAGGCCGTCCTTGTCTCCGTCGCGGTCCCGGAGGCAGCCGAGCAGATGCTGGAGGCGATGGAGGCCGCCCTTGTCTCCGTTGTGGCCCCGGAGGCAGCCAAGCAGAAGCCGGAGGCGATGGAGGCCGTCCCTGACCCCGTCGCGGACCGGAAGGTGGCCAAGCTCACGTTGCTCTGCGAGGCCATCGCCCGTCGCCTCTTCCCGCGCGACTTGGACTAGAGCTAGCGGAGGCGAAACCGGAGTCGGGCGCCCGCGCATGCCGCGGCTCCACGCAGTCCAATCAAAGCCTTCCACCCGAAGCAAGCAACACAGCCACCAGAGCGCGGCGGGGGAGGCGACCTGGCGGAGGGGGCGAGCGCGAGCCAGAGCGAGGCGGCGGAGGCGACCTGGCGGCGGGGGAGGCGACCTGGCGAGCGCGGCGGGGGAGGCGACCTGGCGGCGGGGGCGAGCCCGGCGGAGTAGAGGAGGGCGCGAGCGCGAGCCGGCGGGGGAGGCTGCGGGGGCGGAGGCGAGCACGCGGGGCGGGACGAAGAAGGCGAGGCTGGGCGAGGGAAAAATTCCCACATGCACGGGTGGGCCTAACATGAAAAAGAGGAGAGAGAGAGAGAGTGAGGAGAGAGGCTGACATGTGGGGGTTTTGCATGCAAAAAAGAGTGTCGGCGCTCCCAAGTGCCTCCCGGTTTTTTGGGTTTGGATCGGGACCGCCGGGCGTAACTTCGGCCAAATCCGGCGCTATTTGAGCTCTTGGGGTCCCGGCTGAGAGAAAAATTAGGCGCCGGTGTTCAAAAAGTGCTCGTGGGGGCATTCTGGGGGCCGGCTGGAGATGCTCTAAGGATGTTTAGATCATTGATCACTAAAATAATAATCTAAACGCTGTTATATTTCTTTACGGAGGAAGTTCAATATATACGCCCTCTCTCCATGAGTTCAATATGTACGCCCTCTCTTCATGATTTCCTCTTGGTCTGGTTGCATATGCTCTAGGCAGTACGTATGCATGATATAGTATGTTAGTAAGGAAAACTGAATCTTCAATCAGCGAGTATTATTAGTGCCATGGTCCATGAGCAGCCGGGCCAAGAGCACCCACGGTTTCGCGTTTGCTTACGTGCACACAGAGGAATTGAGGGGGACACGAATTGTTTTGTTTCTGGAGTCATCGACGATCTGACCATTGATTAACGTAGCAGCCTGGGCTAGCTAAGCTAAGCGAGGACGAACATAAATCGTTCTCCTGCCGGTGCACGGCACAGGGTATATATAGGGAGCGAGAGGGGAAAAGGCCGGGAGAGCAGAGGAGAGGAAGGACCAAGGACGGACGGAGGAAGAAGCATCCTCCTGTCCCATCCCTATCCGTGGAGGTCGAGGGGAGAGAGGGAAAGGCCGGTGGATCCGATGGACAGCAGCTTCGGCCGCCGGAGCAGCAGCCATGGCGGCGTGGACGGCGAGTGGCGGCGGTGGGCGGTGCTGGTGGCGACGGTGTGGGTGCAGGCGCTGACGGGGACCAACTTCGACTTCTCGGCCTACTCGTCGGCGCTCAAGGCGTCTATGGGCGTCTCCCAGCAGTCGCTCAACTACCTGGCCACCGCCTCCGACCTCGGCAAGGCCTTCGGCTGGTCCTCGGGGCTGGCGCTGCTCTACATGCCGCTCCCGGCGGTGCTGCTCCTGTCCGCCGCGCTCGGCCTCGCCTCCTACGCCCTCCAGTACGGCATCCTCCTCCCCTCCTCCACGCTCGCCGCCACCCTCCCCTACCCCGCGGTTCGTCCTCATCTCCGGCCAACCATGCATCTCATCTCCATGCTCATTGATATTTTTTCATGCATGTAACTATCTTGTTGATTAAGTGAACACCATACGCTATCACAAAAGTTACACGTAGCCATCGTCCACTGGAGAACCGATCCCCGCTTCTTCTGCCGTCGCTAGCAGCACATCAATGGCAAAGGAATCCATCCTACATGATGACTGATGTGCGCGCCCGTCGCCGTCGGCCATCCACGGCCACACACGCGAGGCGGAAGGATGCAGATGGAAAGGCTGGAGTGGCTGCCGTCGACGACCGTCCGGGGCCGCAGGTTTATTTTGAGGACCTACGGCTGCCACTCTTGCTTGCCAGCCTCAAAATCAAATGGCTTCCCGGCCGGCCATTCTCGCATATTTGTCGTCTTTACAGCGGCATGCGATTGTGTGGCTGCTAACTGAATTACTCCCACTTCACTCGTCTGCAAGTCTGCAACTGCAAGCAACTTGTACCGAGCTTACTCTTTGGAGTGTACTGCCTGCCCTTTGACTTTGCGGCTGGGATGTGGGCCCGCGCGCTAACCAGCCAAGGTTAGAGGGCGATGTAGGTGACAGGAATCGTTGACATTCTAGAATAGCTACCTAGATTATGCCAAGTAGTAATTTTAATACTCCCTGTTAACCAACACGGCGTCCGGGGCAGCACCAATCATGCGTGGCTCACTGAACCGCAAGAATGCTGCTGCCCTTCTTTGTTTTTCCAAAAGACTAGTACTACATTAGCAACCGTAGTACTCCTATATACTAGCAGCCAATGCACGTGCAACACTCCAGAGAAGAAACTCAATCTTATTGCAAGATATTTTTTTTTCTAATTGGAGGGGTTTGGTTGGTTCTAGATGTA